TAGCATAATTAGTTCTTCATTTCTTTATGGCCAAGTGAGACTGTCTTATGGCTTATGCCTAGATGTCCCCACATAGCCTCATAGGTGGGGCTTTTTTGAGGTGGCTAGATCTAGAGTTTGTGCTGGGATCAAGGGTGTGTGATTACTAAATTAGTCCACTGATTGGTTTGGCATAGTTCTGGGTGTGGTAATGGGAAGGTCCAGCTTGGGTGTGAGTGGCAGCTGCCCTAGGGCATGTAGCCTGGATAGACTTGATTTACAAACTCAATTGCTTCCTAAGGGCTAGTTGTAACTCAAGTTGTTGGTAAATCAGTACAGTTAAATTCTAGATGGACATGGGTACACACTATAGATAACAAGAGGCAGATGAATCTTCCATTAACGTAACTAAGTCATTTGTAAGTCAGGCTGGTTGTAACTTGAGAGTCCACTGTATAAAGGACAGAAAGAGGGTTGCTATTGTTGCTTACTACTTTGCTGCTTGCTGCTTGCTGCCTTCTGCCTGCCATGAACTGTTTTCCCTCTGCCCTACCACCCTGTCATCTTGCCTTGGAGCCTTATGAGTTGAAAGCTTTACATACTGAGGCAAAATAAACCTTTCCTCCTTGAACTTTGAGTGTCAGGCATTTTGTCACAGCAACAAGAAAAGTAAGACAGACAGACTCCATTGTACATACATACCAGTTTTGTTTCTCCATTTATCTGTTGATGAACATTTGGATTCTTTTTATATATTATTATGATGATGATGCTGTGGTGAAATTTATGTGCAAGTTTTTGTATGGACGTATGTATTTTTTCTTGAAAGAATTCCTGGGAGCAGAATTGTATGGGTCATGTAGTAGTTCCCTGTTTAAATACTTGAACAACTGCAAGATTGTTTTTAATACTGGATGTCCCACTTTATATTCCTGCCAGTATTACACGATGGTTCTAGTTTTTCCACATCCTCTGTCTGTGTTTTTTGACTGCCATCTTAAAGGGTATAAAGCAGTATATAATTGCTTTTGATTTCTACTTCTTTTAATAACTAATGATATTAAAACATCTTTAGTTGAGAGTTTCTTGTTTTTATTTTTGTTTATTTTTGACTTTAAAAATAATTAGCTGAAGTGACCTGTTTCCTTGCCACAGATCTTTGACTGTGTTTGGAAAGGTAGAAGCCAGGTTTTACTGTGTGGAGGACTGAGTGGAAAGGAAATGAATGGTATTTCAAGTTGTTGGGGCTCAAGGGCATGCATATTGGATTGGTTAATACTGCAGACAGACTTGGTGCAACCTTCTGCCTTGAGGTGGTTTGGTGAAGTTGTGCCCCTGGGTTGTCTACTAGGGTTGGCCCCAAGGTCTTCCAAGATACTGTGTAGTCTCTTTTATATCTGTTGGACTCAATTAGCTGGAACACACAGCTGCTTCAAGCTTCTTAGCTTTTTTGATGACTGTTGGTTTGAGGTCTCTCCATTAATTGTGTGTCCATTACAGATGATTACCATTAAGTCTTTTTATGAGACTAAGATTCTATGAGGATGGCCTTCTTGGCTGTTCCTCATTATCCTCCTATTACTGTGGGAGACAGGGGCATCTCCGGAATAATGCTTTTGAAAAGTCTTAAATTCTGTCTTCTTAATAGAAATTGTAGAAAGGAATTCTAATTGTAGTTCTCTTTGTGTTCTGCCCATATGCCCAGTTCTGTTATTTTATACTCTACATTCCACTAGAGGAAAGAACATTCCTGGAAGCTCTATAGTCACTTAAAATTGGGTCCCTTAAATGCTCTGAACTACTTATGGCTAAGAATTTTCATTGCGAATTTGTGTCTCTGAGCTAGAATAATTTCTTCTAGGCTGAATTTCTTGACTCTCTGCCCATAGAATGTACTGTCCAGGTGACCATGACTTGCCCAAGGTGAAGATTTATTAGCTTTCCACCTTCTAAAAAGTTCTTGTCTTCTTCTAGCCCTTGGTCTTTCTAGGGCCTGAATTGTGCCACCTTGCAAAGCCTCTTTGTTAAGGTTCACTGAGGAGGTGAATTAGGACTTCTCATCTGAAAGTAGCTCCTGTCAGTTGTTAGAGTTTTGACTGAAACTAGTTGAAGAAAATCAGCAGAAGATTGTCTTTCGTGATGTAGGACCTCATTTACTTGCTCTGGGGAAAATCCCTTCAGCCTGGAATGACAAATGAGTATGGGTTATGAGAAAGGAAGTGCAGCCACTTCCTGAGGAAGTGGGGACAACACCTAGTTAGAGGGAAGGCTTTCACAGTACTAGCACCCCGCAGCAGGAGCTTCACCTTGCTGGGTGTTCAGCCCCCAGAGCCTGAGGGCAGCAGGCATATGGTCTGTGTGCAAATAGAGCAGGGGAAGGGGGAATTTTTTGTTAATATTGCCCAGCATTCAGAAGGCAGAATAAAGTGCCATAGTGCCCTTATTTGGTCAACACTATTGTGCCGCTGGGGTCAGTGTCTTTCTGAAAGAAGGTACAGAGCGATGGTTCCTGATTAGGACTGTTCCGCTTGACATTTTTCAGCTGGAGGATGGTGTGAATGCATGCACATACAGCTACTTTTCACTTTCAGTGCAGTATTCAAGAAATTACATGAGCCAGTCAATACTTTATTATAAACTAGGCTTTGTGTTAGACACTTTGGCCCAACTGCAGGCTGGTGGAAATGTTCTGAGCACATTTTAGGTTGCATCATGCTAAGCTGTGATGTTACATAGGTTAAGTGTATGAAATGCATTTTGCATTTAGTGTTTTCAGCTTAATCTGAGGTTTACTAGGATGGAACCTGTAAGTCCCCATAGGGCCTGGTAAAAACAATCTAAGGTAGACAGACATGTGTTTCAAGTGTTTTCAGACCAGGTAAGATAGCATAGTGGGGAATATGCTTTGAAACAGATGGGTCTGGAGGTGGGGCCTGGAGAATAGGCTGGGTTTGGATTGTGTGTGTAGGGTGGAGGAGTGAGCCAGCCCAGTAAGAGGAGCAGCCTAAGTGAAGATGAGGAGCGGCCTGAAGATGCTCAGGGTTTATGGAGATGAGTCTGACACCAGCAGGTGTGTAGGATGCAGTGAGGTAGAGGAGTTCATGTTATATAGCAATGCAAGACACAGGATGAGCTTACGTATTATGTTGACACTGTGATGACACTGTACAAGGATGGAATGTGTGTGGGGCCCAGCTGCCTGGGCCAGGGGCTCAGGACTAAGTATGTGTCCGAATCACCCGGAGGGCTCCTTAATGCACAGGCTGCCCATCCCACCTCAGTAGGTCTTTGGTGGGGCCTATAGGGATGATGGTGCTGTGGTTGCTGAGTTAGGGACCACATTTTGACAACCACTGGTTTAAAATGGAGAGGTTGGCAAAACCTTTTCTGCAAGGGACCAGATGGTAAATATTTTAGCTATTGTAGATTGTATAATATCTCCATTACAGATTCTTTTTAGTTGCTTTCCTTTGAGCATGTGGCCTTGCAGACAGGCTGTTGGGGAAGTGGGATGATGCGGGGAAAAGATGGATATTGTTTACTGGCCTCTGAGCCATCCCAAGATTGTCAGTTCTCTGCTACAAAGCTGGATGACTTTGTCAAGTAAATCTCCCTGTATTTTTATTTTCTCATCATTTTTTTTTCTCTTGAAAGGGGGATAGTAATATTAATACTTAAAACTTTTTTTGAGGGATTGGTGAGCTAAGGTACAAAAGAACATTTATCACAGTGCCTTGAACATAGGTTGAGTTTATCATTTACTATTATTAGTAGTAGAGGTACCAGCTACTGATTGCTCTGTTATATAGGTGAGGGGAAGGCAGTGGAATGCTAACCGTTAGAGATCTGCTGCACTGCTCTCTTGAAAGCTAATTGCTGTAAGATTCTACTCCCTTTTAGGCTGCTTGCAAAGCAACTTTTGAACTAAAACATGTGCACTCTGAAATAAACCGAGGTAGACCTTGTAGGATATCTTTGTTTAGCCTCTATCCCTCAAGTGGCAATGTTGTCAGCTGGCTGGTCCTGGGCCCAGAATTCTGGCTGAAGGAGCAGGTAAACTGTACACACTGGCAACATTGACCCAGGCTGTGTTATTTGGTGCCTTTTGACTTATCATTTTGCCTCATGGTGGGAGTGAAAGTGAGAACCACAGAAAAGCAGACGGCTGGGTGCTTCGTATTTCCTGTGCTTCAGTGTGCAAGTGGGCAGAAAGGGGCAGCTTTTGCTCGAGATAGCTAGAAGGAGAGGCTAGGGATGAACCTCAGGGGTACAGTGTGTGCTTAGCATGCTCCAGGGCTGGGTTCAATTCCCAGCACCAAAAAAATAAAAACCAAAAAAAAAAATTCCCCCCAAAAAACTGAACAGAAAGACCATTGGTTGAAACTTGAGCATTTCTCTGTGCTGGTGCACTGGGAGAGGCTATCTGGTGGCCCCTGAGAGAGTCATCTCCTCTCTGAACACTGATAATGAAAGCTGGCTATGTGTAAATAGGATTTGGGGGACTTCTCCCCCTTCCTTGTCACCTGCCCCTGAGGGAGCATCCACTTTCTTGCTCACCTCTGCAGCTGCAGGCTCCAGTCCTTGCCCCAGGCACATAATAATGACTCAAGCTCAGGTTACAGAAGCAAGAAGTGCCCAGTGGTGGTGATGTGACTACCCCCTCCGCTAGGGTTTTTGCTGACAGGCGGTGAAATATCCTTCCATCTCCTCCCCACCTTGCAAAACAAGCTTCCTGTTTTGAACTTGGTCCAGATGGGAACAGCTGCACTACACCTGTTAATACACTCAGACACACACTTCCCCCTCTGTGTTTGTACAGCTTCTTGTCACCTGGCCATATTTCCTCTCGGCTTACAGATCCGGAATCGCAACCTGGGTGTCTGAACCAGAAATTAAGAAAAAAAAAAGGGAAGTTGATATTTGATGTAGAGTTATTCGGGTAAAATCGTGGCTTCTAGTTTATTTTGCTGAATTTTGCCACAACTGGCCACTTTCCTAACTTTCTCCCTCCTTCTTTGCAGCAGAATGGAAGCAAGGGAAGGAAATCAGCTGACGCAGGAGCCAGAGTGAGACTCACACAGCAGCAGCCTACACCATGAATTTGAGTCTACCTTCTGGGCTTTGAGAGGCAAGGGCGGGCAGAGTTGCTAGAAAGCAATGGCTCTCTTTACTCCCTGGAAGTTGTCTTCTCAGAAGCTGGGCTTTTTCCTGGTGACTTTTGGCTTCATTTGGGGGATGATGCTTCTGCATTTTACCATCCAGCAGCGAACTCAGCCTGAAAGCAGCTCCATGCTGCGGGAGCAGATCCTGGACCTCAGCAAAAGGTACATCAAGGCACTGGCAGAAGAAAACAGGAATGTGGTGGATGGGCCATATGCTGGTGTCATGACAGCTTATGGTAAGTGCTGTGACATGGGGCTACCTTTTCACTGAATGTGACTTACTAGCCTTGGCTTTGAAAGAACTCTGGACGCTCCCAGACTTGGGCATGCCCTAGATCAAATGCCCCTTACCCTTGCCTTCATGGGCAATGGATTGCACACAAAGGGACACTTTTGGAAAGGTAAAGCAATGCCCTTTGCGGGTTTCTGAGATCTTGTACACACAGATACCTTGCCCCAGGCCTGATGATCAGGTCAGTCAGTACTTCCTGGGTTGTATTTGCAGCTGCCTCTTCCTTCCTCAACATTATTTTCAACTATGTGGCCTCACATGTGAGTATATTCAGGAAATGCAAGAAAACATTTCTTTACCTAAACAAAACTTAATTAGGGCTGGTAGGATGAGTGAGGAAGAGGGAGGGCATGTTTTTATGTTGATCAGTAAATTCAGACCCCTCCAGCCTGGGCAGAGGGCAGCAGAACTTGTATGCCCCCTGGTAGTTTTAAGCTTCGACTTCTTCAGATTTGACTGTGCTTGTTTCTTCCCCTCACCTCCAATTGCTCTCACTTTGAAAGAAACCTTTTTGTACTTGTTGCTTATTTTTAGGTGCCCTAAGTCTGTTTTGAAATGATGTTGCGTAAAAACAAAAATACACATATGGAATAGATCTTATTTTTCTTTTAGCACAATTTATGCCTGATATAGAAAAAGTTGGAAATTATAGACAAAAAAAGAAAGAGAAAAATCACATATGACTACTCTAGGCAATATCCACAATTAACGTTTCAGTGTGTCTTTCTGATGTTTTATAGTTATATGTTCACAAATACTGTATGAAACGAATAAAACAAAAATTGCAAATAAAATATGAATCATACTATATTTTAGAGAACCCATGTCCCAGCTGTCCTGTGGCCACTAAATATCCAGAGAAGACTTGATGTACACAGGATGGACTCGTTGTAACTGTTCAGTGGCAGTCAAGTCATTAGATCAGTGGTAATTTTTGGTTTATAGTATTCATGAGATGCAACCATGGGATTGGGTGAGGTAGAAGAAGGCTGGTGTTGTGCTTTGTAACATGTCCTCAGTTATGTCAGTCAAGTGATGATTCCTGAAAATGTGCAGGTTATTTGTTCAGAGAGTTCAAGTACAGGAAATCCTATTCAGTTATACTGGAAACTGGATCCAGAGTTTTAGCACTGAGCTACATGTCTGTCCCCTCCTCCTCTTTATTTTGAGACCAAGTTGCACAGACTGGGCTCGAACTTGTGATCTCATTGCCTTAGCCTCCCAAATAGTCAGGATTTATAGGGAAGGGTCACCAACTGGCTGCATGATAGCTATTTGTTAGATGTCTTCTTCTGAAGGACCTTAAAGGCATTACTTTTCACTGCTTACTATTTGAATGATCATGCCATCTGCTTTTAATGTATTCCTTTGAAATTTGTCAGTGTTTGTAAACATTGACTTTTAATATTTGGAGATAAAATGCCTCATTTTTTTATCTGACAGATTAAAACAGTGAAACTCCATTTTGAGAGTTCACGCTGAAAAACAAGAATGTAGTTTTTCAGAGGGTGCCTTTAAAAATTACTCATTGACTTACATCTACTGTAATGTTTCCAGAGTAGAAATAACCACCTTCTCTCTCTCTCTCTCTCTCTCTCTCTCTCTCTCTCTCTCCTTTCTGAAAAACAACAAACAGGCTTCATCAACTTGACATGTTGATCAGTGTGGTCTTTGGAGCTGGATTTCTGGAATTTAATTGGACTGTGGACATGTGCCTGAGTTATTTGGGATCATCATATAGTGAGATCTCACAAAGACAGAGTTTCTCATCTGGTACTTTTTAACATTTTGGGGCTAGATAAGTCTGTCTCGGGAAGTTGTTCATGCACGATAAGATTGTAGCACTAAGTGCCAGACGCACTTCCCTAGTTTGACAGCCCAAAATGGCTCCACACAGGAGAGCATGATCCCCCTTGCACCTTGGAGAAGCATTGCATTAAGAAAAGCAACAAGAAACTCTGTCTAACACCATCTTCTTAAGGATCTTCTAAAGCAGATAAGTGGTTTTTACCATTTCAAATTTGACGGTCTGGCCTTCCCCCTGGTTCCCAGCTCTGAGCGCCAGTGACTTGGATTGAGCAAGAGAGATTAGATTGTTCCAGGGATTGGTGTGGTCCAAGGCCAGTGCTGGGAGACTGGAGAGCCGGTCTGATGACAGGTGCTTCCCTGGTGTCCATCAGTGTCAGTAACATCCACAGACAGGCAGCTCTGACAGTTAATGTCGGATAAGATGCAGGATGTTCAGTGATGTAGCTGGGCTGCAGAGCAGCAATGAGTCTGCATTCTTTTTTTTTTTTTTTTTTTTTTGTAAAAACCAAAACCAAAACCAGTTGGTCATGGAGACAACAAAACCCAATAAGCTTACTATCCTGTCCTTTATCAGAAACATTTGTCAATTCTTAACCTAGTTTCTCAATGTGTCTTTCTACCCATTGGTTTTTTTCTTTGTGTTCCAAGTCTCTTTTATCTTTGTGTTAGGATGCATTCAAAAAATCTTCATTGGTGTCAGTAACATCCACAGACAGGCAGCTCTGACAGTTAATGTCGGATAAGATGCAGGATGTTCAGTGATGTAGCTGGGCTGCAGAGCAGCAATGAGTCTGCATGGGACATTAGTTTGCAGTCCCCTTTTCTGACAGACAGCCCATGTGATGTGTTCTGTCAAAATGTCTGCCCTGAAAGTGTGAAGAGTTCATCTTATATAGCTGGGATCCATCTGGTCTGGATGGATCTTATTAAGAGAGACCCCACACACCAAGAAGATCTCTGTCCCATCCCCATGTTGGTATAATCAGAGGCACTCAGCATACTGTAAATGAATCTTCAGTGACTGGGTCAGGTGTTTGAAGAGTTATCGTTGCTGATTTTTAGATTATGGATTGATTAAAATCCCTGGCTTGATAATCCTGACTAGTGGAGCCCAGCAAATTGTGCTCTATGGGCTTCTCCTTATTTGAGACTGCTGCCTATTTGTGTAAATAAAGTTTTCGCTGCACACAGTCACTCTTATTTGTTTATAGCACATGCAATAACAAAGAAACACAGTAATGCCAGTATTTGTTTCACAAGACCTCTAAAGCATTCTGAATACATCATTGTCATAGGACATTTTTATTGCTGTCTGCTCATGTTCCTCACTAGCCTGACAATTTCTTGGGATTCCAGTAGTCTAAGCCAAGTCAGCCAACTATGGACTTTGGGCAGAATCTTCCTTGATAGCTTTTTTTTTTTTTTTTTTTTTTGTAAAAACCAAAACCAAAACCAGTTGGTCATGGAGACAACAAAACCCAATAAGCTTACTATCCTGTCCTTTATCAGAAACATTTGTCAATTCTTAACCTAGTTTCTCAATGTGTCTTTCTACCCATTGGTTTTTTTCTTTGTGTTCCAAGTCTCTTTTATCTTTGTGTTAGGATGCATTCAAAAAATCTTCATGAGTTGCACATCCAAATACAGCATTTCTTTATCCTGTGGAAATACTGTTCCTGAGTGGCAGGGTGAGAGTTGGAGGTGTACATGTGTATGTAAGTTTTGGAGCCAGAGAGCTTTGCCACATCTGATCTGCATGGCCGTTGAGAGTTGGAGTTGTACATGTGTATGTAAGTTTTGGAGCCAGAGAGCTTTGCCACATCTGATCTGCATGGCCATTCTCTCTCCTTTCTGAAAAACAACAAACAGGCTTCATCAACTTGACATGTTGATCAGTGTGGTCTTTGGAGCTGGATTTCTGGAATTTAATTGGACTGTGGATATGTGCCTGAGTTATTTGGGATCATAATATAGTGAGATCTCACAAAGACAGAGTTTCTCATCTGGTACTTTTTGACATTTTGGGGCTAGATAAGTCTGTCTTGGGAAGTTGTTCATGCACGATAAGATTGTAGCACTAAGTGCCAGACACACTTCCCTAGTTTGACAGCCCAAAATGGCTCCACACAGGAGAGCATGATCCCCCTTGCACCTTGGAGAAGCATTGCATTAAGAAAAGCAACAAGAAACTCTGTCTAACACCATCTTCTTAAGGATCTTCTAAAGCAGATAAGTGGTTTCTACCATTTCAAATTTGACGGTCTGGCCTTCCCCCTGGTTCCCAGCTCTGAGCGCCAGTGACTTGGATTGAGCAAGAGAGATTAGATTGTTCCAGGGATTGGTGTGGTCCAAGGCCAGTGCTGGGAGACTGGAGAGCCGGTCTGATGACAGGTGCTTCCCTGGTGTCCATCAGTGTCAGTAACATCCACAGACAGGCAGCTCTGACAGTTAATGTCGGATAAGATGCAGGATGTTCAGTGATGTAGCTGGGCTGCAGAGCAGCAATGAGTCTGCATGGGACATTAGTTTGCAGTCCCCTTTTCTGCCAGACAGCCCATGTGATGTGTTCTGTCAAAATGTCTGCCCTGAAAGTGTGAAGAGTTCATCTTATATAGCTGGGATCCATCTGGTCTGGATGGATCTTATTAAGAGAGACCCCACACACCAAGAAGATCTCTGTCCCATCCCCATGTTGGTATAATCAGAGGCACTCAGCATACTGTAAATGAATCTTCAGTGACTGGGTCAGGTGTTTGAAGAGTTATCGTTGCTGATTTTTAGATTATGGATTGATTAAAATCCCTGGCTTGATAATCCTGACTAGTGGAGCCCAGCAAATTGTGCTCTATGGGCTTCTCCTTATTTGAGACTGCTGCCTATTTGTGTAAATAAAGTTTTCGCTGCACACAGTCACTCTTATTTGTTTATAGCACATGCAATAACAAAGAAACACAGTAATGCCAGTATTTGTTTCACAAGACCTCTAAAGCATTCTGAATACATCATTGTCATAGGACATTTTTATTGCTGTCTGCTCATGTTCCTCACTAGCCTGACAATTTCTTGGGATTCCAGTAGTCTAAGCCAAGTCAGCCAACTATGGACTTTGGGCAGAATCTTCCTTGATAGCTTTTT